GGCACCACCCTCCTGCGTCCAGAGCCTCGTCGAACGTGCTCCATGATCACCGACCATCGGGAAGGCAAGAGACCCCCGCTAGGCCAGCGACGATAGATGCACGCCGACACCGCCGTAGCCACCCGGAAAATAATGTGTGCAAAGTTGGGGCGAGCATCCCCATACTTGCACGCAGCATAGTGCGTCCAAATCTCCCAAAGAATGATCATCGGCAGGCGGTGGAATAGGAACGAGAGCATCCTGCTCCTCGGCCTCTGCGCCCACCATATACTCAAGGCGGACCTCAAACTGTGATGTGTGCCCCGGATACGGGCAGACTCTGTGAAATAAGTCCAAACACGCCGCGCCATGCTCCCATGATAGAAAATGTGTGTAATGGTCTCCCGTCCTGGCGGCGAACAACATAAGCACCGAGAAGGCAAAGCAAAGCCAAATCTCGCCAGGACATCATCAGTGGGAAGGCGCCTCTCCAAAACGCGCCATGAAAGAAAGGACATCTTATAAGGTAAGTGTTTCTGCCAACACCTCTTAAGCACAATGTCCTCCACCTCATCATTCCTCCTCGGTCTAAGAAGCTCCTTAGCAGAAGCAAGAGTAAACTTCCCATCCGTAGACGGGGTCCAGACTGGAATATCCACATGATCAGAAACAAGTGATGGCGGCTCAAGGCGCAACTGCCGTAATAAATCAGGAGGTAGAGCATCATGGTCAATCATAAAATCAGAGCGATACATATCACCCACTCCATCAGTCCAGTACCCACTGCAGCCATTGACCTGGCGATGCAAGGCACCCAGTCCAGACCATGTATCCCACCAGAAGTTAGACGTGCCAGAGAGTACACGCCATCGAATCACACGCTCAACCACGGATCGAACATCTAGCATGCGCTTCCATGTGTGCGAATCATCATTAACACGCTGCTTGGACACAGGATGGACGCGACTACAGTACTTAGCCCTCATGAATGCCGTCCAAATAGTGTCCTGTGTCCTAAAGTTCCACCAGAGCTTAGCCGAACAAGACTTAGCCAAAGTCATAAAATCAAGGAAGCCGACCCCACCTTCCCTCGTTGGTCGTGCCAGAGTCTTCCAAGATCCCCAATGGTAGCGTCGAGTCCCTCCCAGGCCAGACCAAAAAAATCGTGCCATGATAGACTCCATCTCTCGAATCACTGTCTTGGGAGGAAAGTGTGCAGCGAGCAAGTGTGTCGGGATCGCCTGCAGAACACTCTTAATCATAATAGCCTTCCCCCCGGAGAAAGATAGCGCCCCATCCACGCACAACACTTGTCCCGCATCTTTTTGAGAATAGGCTCAAAGTAATGAATGCGCTTCCGACCATGATAAATAGGACAG